TTATTACAAATGTTTTTTTTAAAAAGTCAGTAATGAAGCAATGTCATTGGATACAAGCAAGGAAACAGACAATTCACAGAAGTTGTAAGTATAGATGCATTTGAAGGATTAACAATAATTAGTAGTTGTAATATAAAGACTGAACTTAAACTAACATAGATGTGTATTAGGCATGTTGTTATAGAGTGTTTTTATATTAAAGATTAACCTAAAACACGATTTGTTAGAAATTAGAAGTTAGAATCTGTAAACAGAAATTGTTTTTAATAAATCAGACTAGCAAAATGAGAAGCAAAAATGTATACAAATTACATAAAGATATTTATTCAAAATCAGATTAAGGAAATGCATTAAACATTAATTGTTCTGAGATCAAGATTAGTTACACACAAAGGTAAGGACTAGTCAGCTAATAGCCAGCCAATCACACATTAAAATGAGGAGAGGGAAATATGATTTGAGTTAAAAATTCCCATTCCACTACCCTGCAATATCCAGAAGGGGATGTGCTCTCATAGATCTGATCAACCTGTGAAAAGATGTGGAAATCTGTTGGATATGATAAACATGTTTATGTATCCTTTTGGGTTATTGTGCGAAAATGGATCTCATGTAAGAAAGGGAGGGAAAATGATTTTAATGACAGATAGGTACTCTCCATATTAAAAAAAATGGAAAGTACCCATTTGGTTTTACAGAACTTGAGCATTGCTGAAAAACGTTCTGTCAAAGCTTTGTATCTTGTACTGCGCAGGACTCTCAACACTCTCCTCCCATGCAGAATAAATGTTGGTTTTCCCCTTGTATTGGTATTCTTGTGAATAGTCCTGATGAGTGCAAAATGAAAACCATCAACATGTATAACTTTTGAGTATATGGATGTGATCCGTTTACATTTAGACCCAACTAACGTTGTTTCATAAATTCAAATTTCTATATTATGACTGCACCAATTAAAATTTCTCCTGAACTATGATTGATTTGAATTTATATCTGAACAGACTTGCCTTTTCTTAGCGTTAAAGTCTTGTTTCAAACCTGAGAATTAAACATGATTTCTGGTAAAATGGATTAATCTCACTTGATCTTCCTGTATTTCAGCAGGGTGGGAAAATGAGTGAATCCCATCCCACATTTGAAGCATTGAACTATTTCTCTCCAATGTGAACTCACTGGTGCACAACGAAGTTTTGTGTAAAAATAACCAAACAATGTTAGACATATTAAGCAGACTTATGCACCAAACATACTTTATTTGAGTTTTAGCCAGAATGTTAACACCATGTAGCTGGACTAGAACTTTTCAACATCTACAGGAACGAACAATGAATACGGTTCAGCCCTGGAAGTGAAGAACAACAAAATCTGATCACTGGAGTTTCTTGTGAACTGTGTCGGCAGGTTGGCTGTCTGAGAGTATCCCTTTCCACAGTGGGAGCAGGTAAATGGTCTCTTTGCTGGGTGCATTTGCTGGTGCACAGTGCAGTGAGATGATACCTAATGATTTTTGTGAACACATTGATGGCATAAAGATTCTCAAGTTCATTTACAGCACTTCCATCAATCTGGGCATTTAAGAGATTTCCTTGGTATTCACTAAATCGTGCCTTGGTAGTGAATCTCTTCCGACAATGAAAGGTCACTCTCCAGTGTGAACCTGCTGGTGTCTCAGCCGGTCAGATAATCTCTTCCTACCAGCTGGGGTAAACAATAACACATTTCTGTGAACTCCTCAAATTGGTCATTTTAATGCAGAGTTTAACCAATTTATTTTAAACGGGTTAAATTGTAAATGAGATATCACGTGCCTTAAAATGGCAAACTCAAGACTGTCACAAAAACATGTTAAACCTTTACAGGATAATGACCACACTCATTTTCATTCTGGAAACTTAAACCTGATGTTTCAGTTTCAGTTTCAGTCAGGGACAGATTCCTGTTTGACCCCAATCTCCGTATTTGGCAGCATGTTTCCAGTATTCCCAGTTGTACTTCCTGATTCTAAACAAAAACCGACACGCTGTTCGTCTCTTTCAGTGTGACCCTGAAGAAACGTGTTCAGGTTGATTTCTGTCCGTACCATGGAATCGTCTGCCCCACTGACCTGCCACCACATGAGGCTAGACTCTCAGGAAGGAAAGACAGAAATCCAAACCCTTGTGGTTCAAGCAATGCTGATTGACTTTATGTTTATCCGAGAATATTAAATTCCATCCTGGTTACAGGGATCACTAACACCAGCAGAAACAAATACCAACTGTCAGAATGAACACGATTCAGTCCTAGGTGTGATTATTTGCACAATGGAGACACTTATGAACATGCTGGTGTCTCAATGCTGCAGCTGAGATGAGTAAGTGAACCTCTTCCCACACAAGGTAAGGTGAATAGCCTCTCACTAGCACGAGTGTGTTTGTTGAAGCAGATCCATTTTGCTTTTAAACCACCGCTCCAAGCAGGGAATTTGAAACGGATGCCTATCAGTGTGGACACATTGCTGTTTATTGAGGTGGGAGTAACAGGGTGAATTTCCTCCCGCCCGTGAAGCGGATGAACAGCCTCTCCCCGTATGCGAATTCAGATAATCACTCGAACACAGCACCACGGAGAGATGACAAGGTGCAGGGCTGGATGAACACAGCAGGCCAAGCAGCATCATAGGGGCAGAGAGGCTGACGTTTCGGGCCTAGACCCTTCATCAGAAAAGGGGGAGGGGAAGGGGGTTTTGAAATAAATAGGGAGAGAGTGGGAGGCGGATAGAAGA